AAAAGTTTATTAATAAACTAACTCAAATAATCGTAATATTAAGGCATTAAAGTATGGTTAAAAAATAGTTATTTAATTTGACATTAACTTTATGACTGTAGAATACATAGAAAGTCATAAACTGTCAAAGAAATAACCAAAACGGAATTCACATGGGGTTGCACCTTAAGTTCAGACGGAGCCGACGTTACAAGCTGATGGGACTAATCAGACGGCATCAGAAACGAACCATTATAGTATTCTTAATGTGATTACACACGTAAAAAAACAGCGGGAGCTGTGATGCCGACAGCTTACAAATTCGCCCATTCAAGTATGTAGTTGACTTAATTGCATCAGTGTTAAGTTAAATTTTTAATCTATCTTTGGAAACGAGTGTGCTTCACAAAAGAATGCAAATTGCAAAAGTAACTGTTATATATAAAAAAAGGTGACAAAAACGAGTTAGGTAACTATAGGCCTATTTCTATACTGCCTGTTTTCTCTAAAGCTTTGGAGAAGATACTTTATCAACGTCTAGTAGATTTTTTTAAATAAGTGGGATCTCGTAACTTCATCGCAGTTCGGTTTCAGGAAGAACTTTTCAACTGAAACTGCACTTCTTAATCAAAAAGAGTATATTTTGGAAAATTTTGAGAACAAAAAATATGTTTTGGGGGTCTTTTTAGACTTTACAAAGCCGTTTGACTGCCTTAGACACGTGGTTTTACTTGAAAAGCTTGAAGCGTATGGCATCCGCGAACAAGCTTTGCTACTTTTACAGTCCTACCTAGAATATCGCCAACAGTATGTAAATGTAAACGGTTATTCATCCACTGTAAGGTTCATCACGTCAGGGGTCCCACAGGGGAGCATATTGGAACCTTTTCTATTTAATTTATACATTAATGATATCGTTAACGTAAATAAGCACGCAAAATTCGTGATCTACGCGGATGATACCGAGTGTATTTTTTTCTTCCGATACTTGCAACGATGTAATCGATATGGCAAATCTGACCTTATCAAAGATAAAAAGTTGGGAAGATAGCAACTCCTTGAAAATCAATACTCATAAAACAAAAGCTGTGATTTTCTGTCTAAAAAACAAGCCTGTGGTGCTGTCTAAAGTGCTCACTTTTAGCTCTACTCCAATCGAAATTGTTAGTTGTTTTAAAACTCTTGGAGTCATTTTTAGTGAGGGTATGTCTTGGGATAACCATATAAGTTATCTTATCCCAAAGTTAGCTCGAGTAGTGGGGATTATAAATCGATACAGATCTGTGTTACCAACAAGTGTTAAATTATTGCTTGATAAATCATTATTTTTCTCCCACTTAACGTATTGCCACCTTGTTTGGGGAACATTTACCAATATTGAAAAACTTTTTATGTTGCAAAAGAAAATATTGAGATGTATATGTAACGTGCCACGCGACTTTCATACCGCTGATTTATTTAAGATCTTTCAAATAATCAATATTCACAAGTTATATCAGTATCCTATCTACTAGTTATAAAAGTGAAAAAATAAGAGGTACATGTCTTTTGGAAAACCTTGCGTCGCTGAGGAAAACTTCTCCTCCGTATCCTACCGGTAACCCAGAGAAATGGAAGATGGTCACGCAGCGAACAAATTATGGCTCTCAAATGTTAAGCTCCACACTCCCGCATTTTGTTAAACAACCTTAACAGCAATAACATTGATCTAGAAAATCTAACCTTTAGAGACTTGCGCTTATTATATGCTTGTACATGATCCTTTTCTCTCTTAACATTTGCAAAAGGGTGCTTTTAGTTTTGTGTACTGATTTCTAACATCATTGCCTCTAGCACGCTATTATGTTTCTTTTTGTTTGTCTTCCCGCACGCTTCCTGCTGTCCATTGTAGGGGCCCAGGGACTCGTCAAGCTGCATACTACAGCTTTTTTTCTTGGGCCCCACCATCATAAAGGATGGAAATAAAGCATTATTATTATTATTATTATTATTATTATTATTATTATTATTATTATTATGTTTCTGTACGTGTTCTATCATCGCTGAACCAATCATAAACAGAAAAGGCTCAATCACTTGCCCTTTTGACGCTGCTTGATTGGTCCCATTAGCACGTAGCGTCGGGTACGTCGGTACCCCCCCCACCCCCAAGATTTTTTTTTCTTTTTGGTCAGGCTACCTAATATGGTGTAAGGAGACTACCCAATCAATATTTTGCTGCAGTCACGCATATGTTTAATAAATTAAAAAAAAAACTCAAATGTTCGAAAATGAAACCGAAACATGAGCACGGGAGCTCATGGCCGCGACATGTGGACGATGTGTACAGAGAAGGAGGGATAAATTATATGTAGAGGGAGGAGAGAGTTGCCCGGAATTAAGTCAAGGGGCTACACACGACAGTGTTATTTTTAGTGGTTTTTTTTCAGTTTTCCGGTATGTGAAGCAGACAACGACGACGACGTTGCATGCACCGTGTGTCGTTCTATTGTTTTGCACTTATATTCCTTCAGCCCAATGTTCTGCGCTTGAGGACCGATTGGCCGGTACCACGAACGACAGTTCCGAAGTAGCGGCCCCACGTCCATCGGAATGTTGATCCGCCATGCGCCGCCATTGCGTCGCACGTAGTACGTCGCCATTATGAGAATGACGTAGTACATATCAGGGTTGAGCAGTATCGCGATACAAATGTATCGCGATAGTATTTTAGAAATACATTTCGTATCTGTATTTCTGTATCGCGATACATTTTTTTCACCAGTATCTGTATTTCTGTATCGAAATACATTTTGAATGTTCCTTTGTATCGCGATACAATCAGGATGAAATGTATTTCGTTACATTTCTTCAGAAATACCCCCCCCCCCCCCCCCCGAAAAAAAAAAAAAAAAAGTGCGAACGCATTTTTTTTTTTTTTTTTTTTACTTTTGAGGGCATTAAAGTCAAGGAAATGCTGGGGCATTGTTACTATGCTGATCAAGGTTCCTTTTGACTCTACAAACTATTTTTCTATCTTTCCTCCTCTCTCTTCTGGGATGTGTTGCCTAGTCGGAAACTCGAACCAAGTGGCGTGCCATGAGTGGAGTCAGAGCATCTTCTGCCGCAGGTCCCCAGGTAGGGATTTCTTGAGTCATTGTTTGCTGGCATCCAATGCCCGCTGCTCACCGTCTCTCTCGCCTTAGCGTACAGAGTACACCCTGCCGGCAAAGCTGAGTCACATTCCGTTGCAGCACGAGCCTGGCGGTGGTTGACTTGAAATAGTAGGAAGACTCACGCTGGGAAGTTCAAGACATATTCGAATGCATCTGGGGCTGCGCCCGTGACATTGCGCGGCTCAAGGGTACGTCATCAGCCGACGTGAACGTGACCCGCTGCTCTGGTGATCCGAAACCCATAAGGAGGCCAGAAGTGACCTCGCTGTGCCATCCCAGACTACGTTCCCGCGATTCGTCTCGAGAACGCCGTTTCTCGGACAGCTCGCACCTGTGCCGGCAATATCAGCTCGCTATCCACGAAGTCTCTGTTTGGTTAATGCTAGCAAAACTTGAGGACTGCAATCCGTGCGTCGGTGGCGCAGGGTCGGTAGTAAGGACCTTCAGAACAGGGATGCTACCGTATCGTTTTTTCAACGGTAACAGAAGATAAGACATGTATATTCCAAGATGCTTCACGTGGTCCATTATTGTCAAAAATTCCAAATGACAATGCATGCACGATCTTCAACTAGGTAACCTAAAACAAAAGTACGCATTGTCCTTTCATACAGCAGCGTGGTAAAGTTTCATGTTCAAGGCCACACGTACAGATAAAAAATACTAGTTCATTCCACAGTGACATCATGTGATCAAGGTTGACAGGATTCCCTCGTCAGACAGACAGGATGTCATGGAAGGGACCGCGGTCAGCCCTTGATGGAACGTTTTTTGGGGCCTATTGAAGACTCCTTGCCTTCCGAAACCACTACCTTCAAGGCAAAGTGCCGAGCCTTCAGGAAAGTAATTTCGGGATCGAAAACATCCACTTCAAACTTCAAGCTTTATCTCATTTGGCGTCTCAAAAAATTTGGAAAATGTATTGCACTATCAGTATTTCTGTATTTGTATTTCTGCCCTCTCTAAAATGTACTCCTGTATTTGTATTTCCAAATACTTTTTGCCTCTTTTTAAAAAAGTATTTCCGATACGTATCGCGATACGTTTTTACACATGTATCTTAGTATCTGTATTTTAGCTACTATTTTAATGTATCCCAGTATTTGTATTTCCAAATACATTTTTGAGTATTTCAGCCCAAGCCTGGTACATATGTACTTCCTGCAATCAGGGCAGCTTTTTTTTTTTTTTTTTGTCAACGTATTTGCAGTTTCTTGGAGGCCACAAAATGGGGTTCCTATTATTTTCTATTTTCAATATTGAATGCGTGCCTTAGATGGCGGACGACTTCAAATATATTTAGTAGGCATAGCTTGAGCGCCACGTGACAATAAAGAAGAAACTGAGCGCGACTGAAACCGGCCGATTCTCGACCGGCTGTTTTTTGAGGCGGAAAGAAATCGAATTTCGAGCCGCAAATTGTGTCCTAGGTAGGTGGGCTCTCATAGATCATCTTCAAATAAAAACCTCGGCGAGCGTAAATATCATGTCAGCGTCACTTGTGAACGTTGTCTTCAGTCGTCTCTCCGCCTTACGAGCATCTTCCAGAACGTTCGCCAAATCTAATCGTCCGCATCGCGCGTCCCCCATCTCGTCAAACCCTCACCTAAAGCGCAGCACCGCCGCGAGCTTTGCATCGGGCTCTCCCACTCCTCCGCTCTTCCCCCAAAATCAGGGAACCCAGGAGCCGTCAACAACCTCGAAACCTTCGAACCGGACGCCCGACGCGATCCGACAGCCTGCCGTGTTGCGCAGCGCGCTTCTCCGGGCAGCATCGGCAAGAACCTCCCGGCAGCATCAACTCGCTCGTGTGAGAGGAGAGAGAAGCGCGCACTCTGATCTCGCGCTGCTCCGAGACTCCGACCCGCGGCGCTGGCTCCGGAGTGGCCGTCGCCGGCGGTCGAGTTCGCGCAAGTCCCCCGTTTGGGCTCCACTCTCGTGCCGGAGCGGCGTGAGCCGCCAGTTGGTGCACGCATGGCGTTCAACGCGACCGGTTTCCGGGTTGCCCCCGCGCACGCGGCGCCCCGCTTCCAGCACTCGGACGTGCTCCGGAACGTCAATTTGGGAGGACCCAAGCAGGCGTCGTCGCTGCCCACCTTACCGCGGCCCAGGCCCTACGCCGGACAGGGTAAGTACCGAAACACAACAACCGCGAGCCCAAGGTGTCCCGAAAGGACGGGTGAGCTCGTGGGACTTGAGCGATAGTGTAACGCGAGATTCGAAGGATACGGCGTGAATTGGTTAGGTACCTCTGCGTCGTTGTCCGGATACCTCGCGTTATTTTATCGCTGCGTGTGCCATCCTATATAGTATTCGTTGTTTTTCTTCACGAGTAGTACGGATGCCGTGACAAAACAGTTTTGTTTTTTCACGACAGCCAAAACTATGGTCCCCCAGAATTCTCAGGTCCTAGAAGCCATTCAGAGGAAAGGATTTTCGTTTTACTCGTTTTCTTTAGGTGTCATAATTTAGGTTATGGTAGGCTACCCAATGTGTCAAACTGTAATAAAACCCTTTCTTCTGTAGTGAGAATACTGTTTGGATTAGGAATATTTACGCATAAAGTTCTTTCAGCGGATCTGTACTTCTTTTCCGAGGAAGAAAAAAAAATATTCTTAATATTTTGCGTGCTCTGCTGCTTGCCCACGTTATTTTTATGCACCTCGCTTCCTCGACCGAGTTGTGTTTTGTATGTGTTTTGGTGTCGGATAAGTCACATTTGCCAACCAATCATTCACGCGATTCAGAAAAGGACAGGAAAGGGACCTAAGATATGCGTATATTAAGCAAATTAAAAAATGTGACACTATTTTTTTTTCTTTTTTTTTTTTGCGGCGTGCGGTTAGCATATGTCTTAATAAATGGCGGGTTTTGAGCCCAGCTTTCTTTGGCGGAACTTCGATCCGATCCGGCTTTTTAAGTAAAGATGGATTGGGTGGGCCGAGAACTCTCGACGTTTAATGACTTGCTGTGCAGGCGTAAATTACATTTTTTCGTCACAACGGCGGTTCATCAAAGAGTGTGGGCAGTCAGTGTATCACGATTTCGCCAATCTATCAACGGCAACACGCTGCGGCAAAAGGCATATAGATTAGTGTTCTTGCACCGTCTGGTTGCGCTGATGGGTGGCTGATCGGGTGGCTGTAAACGAACATGTAGCAGCGGCCCAAAATATTTATCGAAACGGCGATGTATTTTCAGGAATGATTCTATTTGCACTAGCCCGCGGTGCCCTCAATGCAGTAATAATTGATTGTCCTCTAATAAGCTGAACCCGGAAGACACGCGGGACATCGCGCAATAGCGCTTATACAATCTCGCTGGAAATGGAAGAGAGGGAGGGTGGGAGAGAGGTTCTTTGTCGCAAAGAATGTATAACCGTCGAAAGACGATGCAGCTTGGCATGTTCATTAGCTAAGCTCATCAAATAAATAACAATTACAAATATATTGACTGCATCACAATGAAGTATACTTCATTCAGTCGACCATGTGCAGCAGGCAATGCCGAAAGTGGATGAAGTGCTTTAAACGCCTGCAGCTAAAGAACGTGCTTTTTGTAAGCAAAACTCTCGTGTAGGTATGTTTTTTCCAATGAGCACGCTGGGGGACAATTATTAACAAAAGGCAGAAGCCCGTGAATAACCAGTTTGTTGAGCACTTGAATTATTAAAAAAAAAAATAGGTTACCTGCGCTGAATCACCGCACAAGAGGTTCACCTGGTCAGTATTCCAGAGCAATTTACATTTTCATGCCCGAACGTTATAGATCCATGCTTCACCATTTCCGTTTTTTGCTTTTTCTTCCGCAAATGACAAGTGATAATTTTTAATGCAATTAACTGAGAAACTAGGAGCGCAGGCTTTCTTTACTGGAGAGCTTGTACTATTTGCGGGAACTTACGGCATTCAAATGTCGTCATAATTCAGTGCGTTCGCACTGTCCGCCACAGTCGTGCGCTCGGTCCACGTATGCAGGCGTAGGTGTGCCTACCGATTGCGTCCTCTCACGTGTTCTTTACGGTCAACGTTTCTCTCACGATTTTCTCGTGGCGCACGTATTGCCAGTATCGTGCCTTTCTTAACGTATATACGATCTATCGACATTTTACGCATGACTTGGACCACACTTTACCTGAAGAAATTTCTGGGACATGACTGGTCGCTCACCATTTCATTGAAGTTGGGAAAATTTAGCGCCAAGCTCTGTGACTTGCAAAAAGTATTTTTTTCGTTTCATTACTTGATACCTACATCAACCTGCGGTCATTGCAGTAGGGGCTGTAGGAGCTTGCACCATACATGAAATGTACACTCTAAGAAATGCCTTCGCGTCGACTTTCCCGCAAAACACTCGAAGAGCCAACCTCTGTGATCTGCGAAATCAGTTCAGCGAATGATGAGGCGGAACATCTGTTTAGACCTAAAAATGAAGTGTGTGCTGTGGCTTTACTTAATGCAATTAAGTATGGCGCTTTGTATTGCGCAATACTACAGCGCAGACTTCATTTGGAGGTCTCAACGGATGTTCCGCCTCATCATTCGCTGAACTGATTCCGTAGATCGCAGATATTGGCTCTTTGAGTGTTTTGTGGGTAAGTAGACGCGCAGGCATATCTCAGAGTGTAGCGTAGAACATCTACAAATACCAACAAAAAAGAAAGTTCAACTGGCAAGCTTATGACAATAACCTGATTCGTTTTGTTTGTTTTTCGAAAAAAAAGAGCCAACCGAAGAAATCTTCGATGACGAATTGTGTTGCATATGGAACCATTCTTGAATAGTCTGGGAGAAAAAAAGTGTAGTAGTGCACCGGTCTGTGGAGAAAGTTTGCGGGCATTCTTTAATTAATATTAACTCGATACAAAACTTAAAGAGACGGCAGGTCGTCAGCGACAGCTTAAACATGCAGAGCGTGACATCAATAGATATCAATCGAGTTAATTGGTACGTAGAATATTCTCAATAGTCGTTAACTCATCTCCTCATTACAATTATATCCTTAGATGCTGACAATTGCTTCCGTTCGCAGTTTAAATTAAATCAACGAACGATGGCGGCGTTCTCAAAAAAAAAAATCAGAAATCAACAAAGATTATTACAGATTTAGAAGCAAACGCGCAGTATTAAGCCATGTCAACTTATTAACGTGGAGCATCTGCCAGCTGTAAACGATAATAATAGGGCGAGCATCCAAAACAAATATCGCGGAATGGTACGCGCGGGGCACTCTGCAATTTGCTGGTGATCATATTTTTTCTCGCAGTACAAGTAATACAAGTCATTAGTCGTCAGTTGTCTATTCAGCGGGAGGTTAGTTTGCCTGAACATGGCGGCACTATTACCCACTGTAGATGAGAATTTAGCCACTGCAGTACAACCGCTAGCCTGGGCTCTTTAACGTGCTCCACGTACGCAGTAGTTATACACGACCGCACGCAGGTACGAAGCTCATCCAGATCAAAACCGGCAAGGGTTCGGATGGAACCCAGGATCCATGAGTTCTCACGCAGCACAAGTCAATCGCTGCGATATGCGGACAGAGCTCGTCGAATGACGAGGACGAAACCGTTTCCTCTCAGAAACGAAGTCGGCAACGGGTCGCTGAGCACAATCTGAGCTTGCGATACGCCATGTTAGTATGGCGCATATTGCAGGTGTCATTTTCCGCTGTTTACATTTCCTGCTCTTGACAAATGAGTAACTATACTACACTTGAAAAAGTCTGGAGCGCCTGCTTTCTCGCAAGGCACTAAGCAAATCCAATCGCTTTAATCTACGGAGGGAAGGTCGGCGAATGTCGAGGCTGATAATATGTTTAGAGCTAAAAAAAAACAGCCTGCGCCGTGGCACTGAGCACGGGGAAACGTCCTGGTTAGTGCCACAGCGCAGGCTGCTTTTTCAGGCTTTAAAGATGATAGTAGCCTCGTCATTCACCAAGCTCCTCTCCGTAAATTGGAGCAATGGACTGTCCAAAGTGCCCTGCGGGAAAGTAGGCGCTCCAGATTTCTCTCCGATTTCTCTCAGCGCGGGATGCAGTAACTAATGAAAAACCACTGCGACAGTTAGACAGTCGCAAAGGTCTTTCCTTTTGATCTTCCGAGTATAGTTGGGAGAAGAAATCGTCGCGGTTCCAGGAGACGCGGCGGCGTGCGACCTTTCAATGTTTGCACGGCAGCGCGTCGGAGGGATCCTCCTCCCTCGGAAGCGTGCGCGCGAGCGTGATCGACGCAATTGCTTTGAATAATTTTGTGCACGTAACTCGTTCTACGCCAATGAGGAGCTGGCGGCGAAAGAAAAAGGGATGCGTCACTCTGGCTACATCCTTTTTGTGTAGACCGACACGCTGTTTCCAAACAAGCCCGCGTTTGCCCACACCAGGTGTGGACACTGTGCGTGCACAGAAACCGAATTCGAGGGAAGTGAAGCGTCTGCGCATGCGCAGTGCCGCCGACAGCGCCACAGCAGCTGCGTGACGTCAGGGCCGCGTGTTGGTCTATAACGTCGCCATTTTGCCGATCTCCCTCTTTAAACCCACACGGACAAACGCTCTGAATGCTTTGCGGAAAAGCACTCTGAGTGCTTTGCGGAAAAGCATATACATACGTCGAACTTCCGGGAACTTTCGAGCAAGAGCGAAAACCTTCCTTTGAGAATGCAGAGACGGGATACGCCGATGAAAGGTGAAGAGAGGAGCGGTGTGGTAAAACTAGCGGTTTTGGGTAAGCCAGGTTGCTGAAAGATAAGTGCAGTCCAACCAAACCCTGCATGGGCAGCTGGGTGCGCATTTCTAAGAGATTCTCGTTATGTAAATGACGCCTCCCGAAAAAATATGTGCATACACGCAGCGGGCGACAGAGTAGCGGGCCAGCCGTCACGTAGCAAGCAGAGTTGCGCACTCAACATTTTGCTTCGATAACTTTTTTCTTTACATTCATTTTTTTTTCTTCTTTATGGTTTTACTGCGGTAAATTTGGTGAAATGTGAAAGTTCTGAAGGCTGTAACAACTTTCAGAATCCTCGGTTCGACGCTGGGCAAAAATATTGCGAGGAGTCGCTCACGCCGGCGGTACACGTTCTGCGTCAGGGCGTGAGTTTTTCTGCGATTCTCACATTTACGCGCTGAAAT